CTCTGTCAAGGGACAGAGACAGTGTTCAGGGGACAGTGGAAGTGGTCACAGGGTATGTGCTGTAGAAAGGTGACACATGTGCTCCACTTCCTAGCCTGCTCAGGGACATTGGTTTAAAGATGAGAAGCCCCAAGCTCTGGTCCTGTCACCCTTCTGTGTGGCCTCCTTTCCCCCATCTGGGTCTCAGTTTCTCTAAAATTCTTTCCAGCTCTAGTAGACTGCTCTGGAGATCAGATTCTTAATTCTAGAAACCAGCAGTAATCATTCTGGTCCTTCTGTTCGTGTGAGAGAACATGAAAAACCTGAAATGTGCATTCCAGATAGTGCAAGATCTCCCCCAGAGGCTGAAGTCCCTAGGGCAAACCGAGGTAAGAGCCACCTGTATTTCCTGTGGCCACGGGACACTCTGGGTCCTGAGTCACATGGCCTGTGGTGCCCCTCACCCAAGCTGCCTTCATGGCCTTCAGACCCAGAGATCTCAGACACTGAAACTCCCTAGTCTTGACAAGTGGGGCCCACGCTCACCGGCAGGCTGCTTCTCCTGGTCAGGTCTGCAGGAGTGTAAATGTTCAGGTAGAGGCAGTCTTCAGAGAACTGGAGGGGAATGTTCTCCTTCCTATTGGTAAGGAGATCAGAGACCTTCTGCCCCCGCACTGCATCTTGGGAACACCTGGGAGAGGAGAAAGAAGGAGATTTGAGGTTCAGGCAGATGGAGGCTGGAAGTGTCACCTGGAGCCAGACCTTAAGCTTCTCAGTGGATCTGCTATCACTGGACTTGACACACTGGAGTGAGTGAGAAGCTCACTGGGAGTTTGGTGAGGACCATGGGACTCTCTTGAGTCTCCCCAGATCATGCAGAGTGACAGGGACTTCACTCTTTTTCCTTTCCTGGAGCCAATGGGATGCCCTGGGTCCAGGAAAGGAGGCTGCCCACAAACTGGCCTGCCCTGAGAGCTGACATGTCCAGCATTCCCAGGACAAGGTCCCAATAATGTTTGGCCTATAGGATGACTGTGTTCTTCCACCAGGTAACCATGGGAGACTTCAGCAACCAAGATGGAATACATTTATCCTGAAGCAGACTACGGGTGACATCCTGTGGGACAACCTCAGCATAACCGCAGTCTAGTCCTGCTTTAGTCATATGTGCTGGGCGCCCTTAGGTGAATTGCCATCCGCTCTGGGTTCCAATGCACCAGGTATAAGTGAGAGGAGTGCTTTTCCTAAGGGTCTTATAGCCCTGGCATGTTAAGATTCTATTGTGACCCTATCCCAGGTAACCACTCTTGGCTGCGCTGAGAAAAGGTCTCCAAGATCCAACTTATAAAGGAATTGATAACATTGTTGAGTTCTCTCAATGTGCCAGGTCCTGATTTAAATTATTTTCATGGACTAATTGCTTTGTGCTTCAGATCAGCCCCAGGATATGGGAATCTGTTATTATCCACATTTTACAGATCATAAAACTGTGTCACAGAGAGGTTCCACAATCGGCCCTAGTTCACACAGCCAAGAAGACACTTGCTATATAATATTGGTGTCCCCAAGTACATTCTAAGCAATATCTCTGGATCTCAATAGACACAGAAGACAAGCATTGCTGTCCCCAGTATGTAGAAGACATAAACAAGGCACACAAGTGCCAGCAAGACACAATTATCAAGTGGCAGAGTGGAGCCAGAAAACATGTCTTGCAGTTGTTCTCTCTTGGGAGTTGTTCACAGATTTCCAAGCACAACAGGAATATGACTCAAAAACTAGAATACAAATGTTAAAAGCTGGAAAAGATTTCAACTTCACTAGTATTTAGATAAATGCAACATAAAGACCAAAATGATAGTTATTATTGTTTGATTGTTGTGTTACTGTTTTGTTTACCTAATTCCCCCAAAGCATTCTTTTAATAACCTCAAGCATTGCTAAGGGTCTGCTGCATGGAGATTTTCATCTAATGTTGGCAGGAATATTCACAGAATATTTCTTGAGGGAAATTTAACAAAAGGCGCACACTCTTTGGGAAATTCCATTTCTTGGAACTTACCCTAAAATATCCATAAACGGGTATCATGATTTAGCTACATGATGTTCCTCAGAGTGTGATGATGATGTCAAAAACATCAAAACCAACTTAATGAACTCAAGCGAGACATGGAGGAAATCAATTGCATCTCAATAACAAATTCAATGCAGCTATTCAATGCCAGGTTCAGATATTTAAAGGCACAAGACAAAGTTGATGATACACTGATCCATGAGTAAGGTGGTCATTCCAACTACCCGTATGTACCATCCATTTTCAAGGCAGGAAGGCTGCAACAGGATCTCCAATGTCAACAGCAGTTCCTCCTGGATCATGGGACCGCATGTGATTTTCATTTTCTTGCCTACACTTCTCTGTATCTCCTAACATATTTGCAATATGTATGTATGGCACTCGCAATCAGGAATTTAAAAACTGAATATTAACTTTTTAAAGAAAGGACTGGAAAGAAGGCAGCCAAAAGTGGGATTCTGGACATCCCAGAAATACCCAATGAGGAGAAGATGAAAGTCGTAAATGACACCTGTAGGTGTCTGAGGGGCTCTAGTGTGATCATGAGGACATCTGGAATCTTTGGGCTTGTACCCCACTGGCCAGGGTTCCTGGGCCCAATAACCTTTGCTTTGCCTATGACTATAACTAGACACAGGTGGGCGGTGAGAACTCACCAAGGTGACCCTCCAATGCACCCAGACACACACCTTCACCCACCCCACTCCCAGCTCACCAACTTTCAATATAAAAAAGATAAGATGACTACTTCTTATCTCTCTCACCTGCTCAACAGCTCTTTATCCAACGTACTATCACCAAGCATGTTCTAACACAGCATGACATATTTCATTGTTTATCTTCAGCGTTTTTCGTTATCTCACGCACTCTCCCTGCAGGACTAGAAGCTCCATAGAGCCAGGATCTTTCTTTGGCTTACCGATGGATTCTAAGAACCAAGGGCAAGCTGGGCACAGATTAGATGCTCAAGAACTAGTGTTGAATAAAGGGCTCTAGGTCCCTGAGAGGTCCGGACTGTTTCAAGGCTCTGCAGTGTTCTAGAAGATTCCAGAAGATTCCAGAAGAAAGCAGAGCCAAGCCCAGGACGGCCTCCACCCCCTCCTGCAGCACGGAGGGACAAACCCCCCTGGGACAGGCCACCACTTACATAGGAGGGTAGGAGGTGGTGTTCTTCACAGATCTCCAGGGCTCTGCCGGCTGCGGTGGAGCAAACCTCAGGGGCCCAAGAGGGGGCCTGGCAAAGGGGATACCCAGGAAGACGGCCACGGGCTGCGCAGATCCTTCCAGACTGACGTACTTCCCCAGGACTTTGCCATGCACAGTGTCCACCACGGGGGGCGAGGACGGGTGTCCTGCTGGACATGGGGATCAAATGAGGACATTAGAGGGGAAAGGCCAGAACTGGCCACATTCTAGGCATGAGACACTGAATAAGTGACCTAAAATTTTAGGTCTCAGAGTATTTTTTATGTGAAATAGAGATGAGGAGAATGTCCAGCCTAATGAAAGGGCTGATAGACGAGGTCAATTAGAATTGAGGTATAAATTTATCCAGTCAAAGTCAGTGACAAAAGAAGAGCTTCTGGGAATGAACAGGGCCTTTCGTTTCCCTCTTAGAAGCTTCTAGAAGTATGTATTCCCCTGGTACTGAGCTGCTTACTGGTTAAGAGCATGAACAAGAGGAGGCCCTATTCTCAGGCTGGCTGACCTTGTGGGGAAAAGGAGCCGCAGACATTCTTGACTTCATCTGGGAAGAAATAGGCTGTGTGTCCTAGGCAAGGGTCCAGGGAGGGGCTGCAGGAGGTAGAAGAGGGAGCAAGACCTTCTGATCACAGGGAGCCGGGACTTGCTGAGGAGAGAAGAGAATGAAGGAAGAGAATTAGGGGCTGAAGCAGGAATCAAAGAAAGTGCAGAGGTTCAGAAAATCAGAGACAGGAAAACACGGGGCCTGGCTTAGAGCCCACCAGAGTGGGCTGTGGATACAGCTGGAGCCCAGGAGGAGGGGATGAAACTCCGAAATGAGCAGGTGCATGTCAGGGAGGGCCTTGAATGCCAGGCTAAAGGATTGGGTTTTATTTAGTGGACAAAAAGCAGCAAGAACAATTCTGGAGTAAAGGACACAAAACTCTTCTAGAATATTCTGCTAGTTCTTAGCGGAAACAGACCAGTACAAGAACTGGGGAGAAGACATTTCGCGGAGTCTCAGTTTCTCTGTCCATAAAGTGGCACAGATGTGTGCTGTGGTCCATTTTGCTGAACCCCTGTGTTAACTGTGGATTTATTTTCTGTCTCTAATGCCTTGGCTTCTGAGGTCTTGGTGATCTTTGAGGAACTACTATTCCTTGGGTCCACACCCCAGCCACCTCCTTTATTTTGGTCTCATAACCTGGGCCAGTATCCTCCTGCCCAAACCACCCAGAACTAGGAGCCAGAAAAAGTCCACTCAAATAATTCCAACAGGCCAACCCTATGCCAGCTTCCTCTGCCTCTCCCCCTCTGGGCAAAACCAAAACAACCATTTTGTACCTGTTGGCCTCCTCTCCCTCTGCCTCCTGACTGACCTTTGTGTCTTGTCCACCCCAGTGGTGCCCCCACCCTCTTGGGAACTGGAGTGACAAACTATCTTTTCAACAAAGTCTTCTGGTCTGATATTACCATATGTCAAATTTCCTAATAACACACTCCACTTTAGATCAATACCTTTATCCTTTTTCCACCTCCTCTAGACCAGACACCATTCTAAGTGCTTCAAAAAGCACCACCCGCTTCATCCTCACTACAACCTGATAAGGTGGGTACTACTTCATGCCTATTTTAGGGACAGGCACTCCAGGCACAGCTAAGTTAAGTATCTGGCCCAAGGACACCCAGCTTGAAAGTGCTGTGCTGGGATTCACTTAGTTGGGTTCCTGAGATTATGCCTTTAATATTTTGCTAAGTCATTCTCCATGGGCCAGATCTGCTCTAATAATCAAGTGGGAAGGTGACCTCTCTTAGTTCCTCATGAGTGAAGTTTGAGTTTATCTCATTGCCCTCCTGACCCTGACGCATGAAGCAGGAGGGCCAGGTGTTTTAGTCCCCTGAGTCTTCTTGTGGCCAAGGCTGGCTGAGCTTCACTACTCCAAGTCTGTTTTCAAGTTCAAGTCCAGTTCCAAGTCTGGAGGGAGAGCAAGATTGTGGAACTGGAGCTGCATGCCTTTGCCCTCTAGTTATCGCCACCCATCTCAGCCAAGGACAAGGATTTCCCCTGTGTCCCCTGGTATTTATATTTCAGAAGGACTCACCCCATGCCGCGCAAGCAGAGAGAGAAGCCAAGACCAAAGTATAGAGCCACATCCTGGAAGGACAGCCGTTCTGGGGTCAGTGAGTCTCTATGCTGCTCAGAGGCAATGCACCTAAGCTCAAGACCTGTCCCTGAATCCTGCCTACCCAGGCCAATTGCATAACCTAAAATGAGAGAAAAGCTCTCCCTCCCTCTGGCATCTCTTGGGACATCCAAGTCACGCCCATAACTCCTCCTTTGTATCTGAACAGTCCGTATCAAACTCTTAGATTACAGAGGGCCACAAACTCGTCCAACAACTTCTTACATAAGAATTTCTCCCTGGTAGAACTCTAACCTCAGTGCACTTTGAGCTTCCCAAAGCGGGCACCAGGAAACTGAACCCTGAAACAAGGCAAAACTTTGGTCTGGGGTCCTCAGAACAAGCTGGGACATTGTAGAGCAACTCCCAGCTCCAAAGCTGCTCAGCTGAGAGATTAGGGACATCTCTTAGCCTCCTTGGGCTGCTGTTTCCTAGAAACCAGGCTCTTATATTTGGAATGATCATCCAGTCTGATGTCTAAATTAGCTTTGCTTTGTGTCTGCGTGGTGACCCAGGCTCCCCCACACAACTATGGTCAGGAAACTCACTACATTTTGGTGCAGCAATTTTTGGATATAATATTCTTCCAGTGAAAGATCCACAGATCCCAAACCCAGAACGAACCACACGAGACACT